GAGAGAGAGAGAGAGAGAGAGAGAGAGAGAGAGAGAGAGAGAGAGAGAGAGAGAGAGAGAGAGAGAGGTGAACAAAAGTACGGAGAGCAGAGGGATTATTTAGCCATGGGGAAGAGGGAAACGAGGCCATTCCATGCACAAATTGGGCGTGATCCATGCATTATCCATGGCAAATATCATTCAATAGGGCAAAAATAGTTCCCATAGGCTATAAATAACCGTGCATATCCATCATCGTCATTCCATTCACTCGTACACCATGATTCATACCTTCACTCATAAGCAATTCCCTGGACATTCTATCTATAGATTCTATGCATCACTACTTAACGAACCAGTGGTTCGGGAACATGGCCAGTTACAAGGCGGGCACGTATGTTTTCGATGTGTACCAGCCTGCTTGCACCGGTTTCACTCGATAGATGCAATGGATACATGGAGAACTGTCTCAGTGCACTGCACAAGAGTTCAAAACCACTGCTGGTGCTGCAAGTGATAAGTATTCCATGGATAGTGGGATACACGAATCTCCTGCTTTGTCCTTGGAATTCTGCAGATGCTGAGGTGGGGGGAAGAAAAGAAAAGCCATTTTGCAATCCAGCCCCTTAGCTTTCGGAACAAGACGAGATGATCCAGCAAATCATCTTTCCTGCGTCATTCAGTCATACGACCCCTATTCAAAGGATTCAGGGGTCTAATAGTCCGGTCCCAGCACCAAATCCCAATTGCACCTGTGCCCTTACAGAAACCAGTAGGCCCCTTAGTCTGTCGTTAGGTACCAGTAGTCCGTCAGTCCCGGTCGGTTGCAGCTCAGTGCCAGGAAAGTCCTACGATGTTCCCAAGTGTTGAGGCCAGCCGCAGCCAAGGCAGGAAAGGGACCGAAGTCACAAGTCTAATTTTGCGAACTGCAGTGGTATCTAAAGGGAGTGGCGAGCAGTTTCTATTGGTTGCTGGTGTGGAAGCGCTGCTGTGGGACCAAGCCGCAGACGAGGAAGGAGAAAGCAGTGTTAGCAGTAGTCAAAAGCACCTGGCAAGCAGAAGAGAGAAGACTATAGGAGAGCGAGAGAGGGGAAGACAGTCAGAGAGAGATATCTGAGGGTAGGATAGAAGAGAGAGAGAGAGAGAGAGAGAGAGAGAGAGAGAGAGAGAGAGAG